GACCGGCTTCTCTGTTCCAGGATCCTGCTGACCGTGGTGGTGATCTTCAGGATCCTCATTGTGGCCATTGTAGGGGAGACGGTGTACGATGACGAGCAAACTATGTTTGTCTGTAACACGCTGCAGCCAGGCTGCAACCAGGCTTGTTACGACCAAGCTTTCCCTATTTCGCACATAAGGTACTGGGTGTTCCAGATCATCATGGTGTGCACTCCCAGCCTTTGCTTCATAACATACTCTGTTCACCAGTCTGCTAAGCAGAGGGAACGGAGGTACTCCACTGTCTTCCTCACCTTGGAGAGAGACCAGGATTCAATGAAGCGTGAGGACAGTAAGAAAATCAAGAACACGATTGTCAATGGGGTGCTGCAGAACACTGAGAACTCCACCAAAGAGGCAGAACCAGACTGCTTAGAAGTGAAGGAAATCCCCAATCCTGCTATCAGAACTACAAAGTCAAAGATGAGGAGGCAAGAAGGCATTTCTCGATTTTATATCATCCAAGTGGTCTTTCGAAATGCCCTAGAGATTGGATTCTTAGTGGGACAATATTTTCTGTATGGATTCAATGTCCCTTCCATGTACGAATGTGACAGATACCCTTGCATTAAAGAAGTTGAGTGCTATGTCTCTAGACCCACTGAGAAGACTGTATTCTTGGTGTTCATGTTTGCTGTCAGTGGGATCTGTGTGGTGCTCAATTTGGCAGAACTGAACCACTTGGGCTGGAGAAAGATCAAAATGGCAGTGAGAGGAGTACAGGCAAAAAGGAAATCCATATACGAAATCAGAAATAAGGACCTGCCAAGAATGAGCATGCCTAACTTTGGCAGGACTCAGTCAAGTGACTCAGCTTATGTGTGAGGCTGTGACAGAACTGAAACACTGTGCCAGGTGGAACAGACCCAGACACCATTAGGGAAAGGTACATTGCTTAGGCAAGCATTTTATCAAACCACCAAGAAAGCCATTAAGGTATTGGATCTGCACTTACTGAACTAGCTGCAAAATGCAGTGCTATGTAAAAGACTGAAAAAACAGCTATAAAACCATGCTTGATCTAGCCTTACAGCACAGCTACTATTATTCCTACTTTTCTTTCTAACGATTGGGTATTATCTGTTGGTGGAGCAGCTTTTTGATCATCTTTAGGATAAGTTTACAGTTTGGACTGTATGACTAATTGTTGTAAATGTGTAGAATGTTCATATTAAAAATCTGCAAGGATACTCTATATGGGGTGGGATGGGGTGGGGAAACTGTTGCAATGTGCAGATGTAAGCATGTTTTAAAAGGAGGGTAATTGCACTGTAAGGAACCTAACCACAGCTCAATCAGGATATCTGCGTTCACCTATCTCACAGATGTCTTATATCATTTTGCTTGTCTAAATCACAGAATTCATTCCTGGTGTGTATTACGAACTATTTTCTATCATAGATTATGCATCAACTAGTTATGCTAAACAATAAATGCTGAATATAATTTTGCCATTTTTTTTTTGTTTGCCTGTCCACACACACACACACACACACACACACACCGGAGACCTTAATCATCTTATGTTAGTTGTGATCTGCAAAATACATCAGTACTTTTCAGTTCACTCCCTAATATGTGCATGAAGAAGATGGAGTTGGTTCATGCCAGCCAAGTTCTGTATTTACCTACAATTACCTACAATGACACACATACCAAAGGAACAGAGTTCATTGCTTTTAATTGTGACTATATCACCTTTTCTCTCTGCTCTTATTTATATAAGTGCCATACTTGAAGCATCTAACTCTGTACTTAGTCAAAAGGTTGTCTTGGGATACCAGCTGGAATAAAGTGGTTTTATACTCTCCTTTGTTTATTTTATGCTATTTGTTTAATCATTGCAATTGTGTAAAAAGTAGCTAAAATATCTATTGATAAATAAAGTACTTGCCTTTTTTTTTTGTAAGCCAGAGAGATTGGTTCTTCTTTATTACTGTAAGCAATTGTAGAAACATAGACGGTCAAAATAATTGACTTACAACAATTATTCTTCAGGGTTTGAAGTGTCTTGTTGATATTCTAAACTCTAAGTGACAAAACCTGGGAAATCAGGACTATTCGTTATGTCTGTTTTCCTCCTTGAGCAAGCTTTGTCTGTCTTTAAAGCCTGATCCAAAGCCCACTGACACCAACAGCCTTCTTTCTGCTGACACTAAGGGCAACACAGTTTGCCGCCAAGGTCACTCTGGGAATAGCCAGAGTACAGTTACCTTTAAATGAAACAAATGCAGCTTTCATCAGGGAATCCAAAGAGTAACCTCAGATTTTCTGCCTTACAGCTGGTTCAAGAAACACACTCTTCATGTCCCATCAACTTACTGGTAAGCCACTGGGGCTGTCATAAATGAATCTCTGTTAACAGCAACCATTTTAATATAGGATACTAAGTTTTTCTTAAGGATCTTATTTAATTCCCACTGAATTAAATGGAAAATATCCCACTGGCAACAGTAGGAGTTGGATCAGGACTATAAAACCATACAAGTGCATTCCTACCTAGATAGTACCTGCTCTTTATAGAAAAGGGTCAAAATGGTGCTGGAAAATTTGAGAATACTTTATAACATAAGAAGGACACAAGGGCTTGGAGTCACAAACAGACTTTTGATTGTATTTTATTTCAAGCCTAAAAATGGATTTTATTGTATTTTGGCTTGGAGATAATGCTTGGCTTACAGTAAACACCTTAACGTTTCATTCTTGTGGTTTGCCAGCATTGTCACTTAAAAAAAGTCAATTAATTCTTAGATAGTGTATTCATTATCACTTTTATATATGGTCTTTCTTTCTTCCACTGTGAAACACAAAAAGACTTTGAGATGTGTCATGTTTTTAAAGATTTAAAAAATATTTTTCCTTATGTATAAAATGAGCAATTTTTCCAGCTTGGTTATATATATCTATAAAAATGGATTTCTCAAATGATTCCTTGCAATATAAATGCACACTGATACTGCTAGTTGACTGCATGCTCACTGGAAAACTGCATGTTATTTTTAGAAGGACAACATGGCAGCTAAAATCTCCATCTGCAATATAACAAGCTTCTGAAGATTATTATCTGACACAGAAATCCAAGTCTGATTTTCGTTCTTCAGAGTCCTGAGATGGCTTGCAAAATCTCCTTTTGAATAGATATTGAAGGGAAAAATGTTGTTTAACAGTCATAAGCACGTAAACATTTTTTTTATGTTGAAGAAATGGGAGCTTATGTGCAAAGGGCTTGATCCAGTGCCAATTAAAGTTGAAGGAAAAAACTCATACTGAATTCACTGGGCTTTGGTTCAGGTTCAGCATAATTTCCTGCTAGGCAGAAGCCCTAATGCAAGTTATTTCCAGTGGCTGCATAGCAATGTTTAGTCAAACTCTAGCAAAGGTGCATGTCTTGAAAGCTGTAAGGTCTTAATACCTTTGAATTCTTTAGGTAAGACCAAGACAGGATTTGTATATAATAGTAAATGTGACTCAGTTAACTCAATTATTTTATCCAGTTGCCCATTTTGTACTCCACTAAGCTGGGATTCTTTAGAATTTTCCTAAGAGAAATATGTAAGGAAATGCAAATATTAATTTAAGCAACAGGATCAGTAATAAAGTAGGCAAAGACTCAATTTTTGACCAACAGAAATGTCATCCTCTGTATTTACACTAAATTGAATATGACTTGTCATATTTCAGGAGGGAAATGAAATGGTATCAAGAGATCAGCTGTTCTAATCTTCCTTTTCGATTGTTATTTTTCATTTCTTACCAACTACTTACTTGTCATGGACAAGAGAAATACTGCAAACACATTTTTGTCAATGTATCATGTAAGACTCATATGATTAATGTTAATGGTCTGTTTGCATGAAAGCTGACTATTCATTTACAGAATAAATGCTTTTAAATTGTCACAGTAATGGAAAAGTGTGTTAACTGAACAAAACTGAGTGAACGTGAAGCTGAAGGGCACATTACTGGCCACTTAGGTCTTGCTCCTACCTTGATCAAATGAATTAGTCTTGCCATTGATATCTATGGAAGAATTAGACATTAAATATGAAAATTGAGTTCATGTTTGTTTTATTCATTGTATACTCTGTTTTGTACTTGTGGACAATATTGTATGTCATACGTGCAAACATAAAAATTATGTTCACTAAGCTCTTATGGAAAGCTGCAATAGAATTTAATACATTATTCTGTGGAATTTTAAAATTTACATAAAATAATTATATTACTTCATTTTTACATAGGCTTGATCTTGTGCTTCTTGAACCTGTGTGAATTTCAAAAACTATTTACCTAGGGGTTCTGAACCATTTCACTATGTGTGTGTGTGTATTTATATATACATAAGTTGCAGTGAGATTCTATAAAAAGATTTTTTTAATTAGATTTTTCATAATGAAATCTAGCTACATTTTTATATGGGGAAGCTCAATTGACTGTTCTCATAAATACTTCAGTTTTAGATGCCATTGACTTTGTAGAAATATAAGTTTTCATCATTCTAAAGTAAAATCTGAAGAATCGAGAGATCAACTGAGATGAATGAAGCACGGAAGTGGTGAGATTGATTTTAGTTTGTTTTAGGACAGAGAAGTCAGAAGCACTCAGAAACGCCATGGCAGGGGTTTGGACTGGATAATCTTTAAGGTTCCTTCCAACCTAAACCATTCTATGATTCCATGATGGACCAGATGGACATTGTCCCTGCATCCTTCTGGCTTTTTTTGTTTGAA